CCATCTCTTAGTCATCGTAGCCTAACAGTATTAATTGAATTTACCAGTTTTGATTTTGATTGAGATAAAAATTTGCCTATATCCTTCTCTACCCAATACGAAATGCGTACCTCAAATTTATATTGGTAAAATGATGATTGGTAAAACTAACAAAATGCCTAGAGTTAACAAACGACAGGATAATATCACACAATTTCACATTTATAATATAATCTTTACGTATTTCATTATCTGTCTACTGCTGAAGATATTCCATCTACATCCACTGACTCTCTGCAATGTATTTGAGGTCGTCACTCCAACTAGTGGGGTCTTTTTTTTAATGGGTGATAATGGAATGGTAACCCCACCCGCGCTAATGGTATACACCGGCGGGGCACCAGTGAAGGATGATAGGTGAGGATGAAGCAGGTCAGTTAGCCCATCGTAACGAATTCAATAAGAATTGTTCACGATGGTTTATAGGGGGAACCACGTGGAGATCGACCTAATAGGGCAAATTGCTAACAATGGGACTGTCAAACTCCATTGCTAACAATCCCTTTCCCCCCAACTAGCCCACTAGTTGGGGGGAAAGGAATTGTCGTCTTATACTACGTTTGCCACTCAAACGTAGTATAAGACGTGTCGCCACTCAAGAACCTTTCTACCCCATCGGTTGTCGATTCTTTGAGCTGTGTGACCAACCCATTGCCAGTTCAACTTGCTTATTCTTCGGGGTATATCCGTTTCTTTGGTTCTTTTGCGGATATAAGGAAGGATAGGCGAAAGGATAATATTATCCTATTAATATAATAAATGAGAAAGTTTATAAGGATGGATAGATGGATGGATATTTTACTCTTTCACACAAACACTACTGAACGGATTTGAATGAAATTTGGTACATGGATAACATAGCACATAGGATAACTTAGCTACTAATTCAAGCAGACAAGGCCGCGCGATACAGCTAGTCGTAGATTTAAATACGTAGCGGAACTACGTATCATAACGTGTTGAAGGAAGGGATAGTTGGTTAATAGGGACAAGCGTTGATATTGTTAGCAATGTATACGTCGAGTTTCATGCGATCTCTTGCTAATTGACTTAACTTCATTTTTACCTATCATTCCTTACCTGTAGATCGCCTATCTACCGATAGCGTAAGTGGAATTCCTATTATATTTTCATGTCATTAAAAATGTAACGTATTTAAATTATATTTTAATGTAATAACTATCAGTTTACCTTACGTGTAATTAGACTAAGAAAGGTCGACTAGTTTCGGGATCAACATGTGCTCAGCAGGCCTAGGCGCGTAGTTAGTCTTGCGTTCGTCTCACAGCCACTCACGATTAAGGATCCCGAATAGGTCCCGAAACTAGTGGAGCTTATTCGATCTAATTACAATTAAGTTAAACCGGTATTTAAATTAGGTCGAAGTAAAATAACAGTATTTCTAAAAATATTTACAAAATGTATTTTTACATAATGTTACGCAGTTAAAAATATTTTTAATCAAAACAAAGTCCCTATTTTAAACTATAATAATTTTTTTATAATATTTTTTACATTTTTTACGTCTATAGACAATGGTTACCACTTTCGATCAGGGAGGCCGTCATTTTGTTTGCCATTCTGAGTTGTATAAAAAAAAAAATGGACCAAAGAATGAATTGTTCATTGAAAAAAGAATTTAATAAATGTTTTTAACATTAAAAAACAATGTCATGTTCAAAAAGGACATGGAATATAGCTGAGTGGCACCATTTTAGTGTTTTATTTTTATTATTAAGTTTTTTGGTTAGTATTAAGTGCAGAGTTAAGTGAAGAACTAAATAAATATATATTTCATTTCTTCTTTTTTATGAATAATATATCTGAATATCTTTCATTTGAATAGAGCAAGAAGAGTCCAAATTACTTTATAAAAATTGGAACTGGCGTGAGCTTCCTTACAAAAAATGGTTTTTAATTTGCCTCAGTTATGCCGTACAAATTACTATAAACGATTATGTGATTATGATGGACAAAGTTACTAGTAAGAGAAGGGTAAGTTGCAGAAAAAAGTTTTAGCTTCGTAACATCTGAGAGTATACAGGTAATGCGAGAGTAGTCAAAATATTCCACCTCACAAGAGACAAAGATAGATTTCGTGAGCTGATAGCCAACCTTCCCTAGTTGGACAGGCATTATGAGAAGAAGAAGAACTACTTTAAATACAGGTTTTTTGTATGATCATTAAATTTATAAAACAACAAGTTCAGCAGCATAGACATATTTACACATAGCTTAACAATTTTCAAAGGCAAGGCAACTATTTTATGAGCATGATAATTAGTGTTAATTACCTGTAATTGGTATTCTAAATGGCTTACAATTGCAGTAATGGATTTATGGCTCTTAACTTGGTTACTGTAATAAATTGTAACCATCTATATTATATTTATTGTTTGAGTATGGATTTTTTTGTTCGTATCCTAAATATAAATGAATGAATATTATTCTATAGGCTCTTTACAATTTACAGCTAATTTGTTACACTCATAAAAGTAAATTGAGATATAAACACCCACGTGAGTGGTTTGCGTTGCGTCTAAAATAAACCGGGATCATGGCTTTGAAAAACGTTAATACATTTTACTGGGCAAATAAAGCAATTTGCTCTTAACGAACGATCTGACCTAGCTTCGTACGGGTAAGCAAAATTTTAGATAACAATGTGTAGCCTAGCTGATAATGTAGCTTTATGTATATATATATATATATATATATATATATATATATATATATATATATATATATATATATATATATATATATATATATATATATATATATATATATATAAAAAAATACTTATATCCTTAACACATATATAAATACAAAGTAGTAACCATTAGCATTTTTATATAAAAACCACAAAGTAATTAATGTAAATGTATGACTATTCGAGTTTCCTCATTTGAGTCAGTATTCGATTAAAGTACTGACTCAAATGATTATTTACTCGAGTACCCAATATACTGAAATCAGATATGTGATATTCGAAAATTATATTATACTTACCATGTTTCTTGTAAATAAATATTCATTTAAATATAGATTCGAGTAAGGGAAAGCAGCAGAAACATTAAAGGCGGGCAATTACAAACACGATAGTTTATTTAATGTATTTTTATTGAAAAATATTACAAGCTCATGCTAAGAACTGGGTTACGTGCTATATTTTATGCAAAAATTATACTCATAAGCAATAATCAAAAAACACGAAACTGTTTAATAATTTTATTTAATTATTTTTATGAGTTTAAAGTTTGTTAATAGTTCTTTACTAATTTAATAGTTAATTTATTCTTAAGAAATAATAATAAAAGTCTATGATATAATTCTGCTGATTTATACTTATAAGGTTTCCCTTACGCGTTTGTATTTCTTTCTCTTTCCTTATTTATGGTATTCGATAGTAATCGTGTGTTAATTAATTACTAAAGGAAAAACTATTATATTGAACATTTAACCGCTCTATTAAACAAAAAAGAAGCTACAGAAGTCATCTGAAAAATAATGCTCAAGTTTGATGAAGTACTTGAATATCTACGCGAGTACTTGAGTACTGGTCTAAATCCTTAAGTGCTCAATAGTATCTGATTCTTTTTTTTATAAGTATTGAAATACTACTAAAATAATAAAAATATCCAACTGAGTACATCAACAAATAAAAGATTTGTATTAATTTTTTTTAAATGTATTTGTAAATTTAATAAATAAATAAGATTATAGTATCATGTTTATTCATGGTAGTATCTTATATGCAAACAGTCGATTTTTATAGGTGAAGATTACCATGATCAATGATCCCACTGTTTTAATGGAGGTATACTGAGAAGGCATATATTGGGGAGTGAATGTTGAATAACTGATGATAATAATTATTTTTTTCACACAAACTCATAAATTGTATGATTCCCAAGTCAGAGTAAATTTAGAAGAGTTCATTTTCTAAATTGGCTTGACTAAGACTTGATCCCGAGGCAACATTTACGTAAAACAACACGCTTACCACTGCGCCATCGAGGTCGTCATTTGTTTACACATATAATATTCTTCATTGTGCTCAGAAATACAGTAATGAAATGGGTGATGACCTTTTTACCGCCATCAATTTGCAGCAGAACCCAATATATAGATATCGGATCGCTATTCATATTATCCGTACTTAGACATTATGATAAAATATCTTTTCTCAAACATGCTTGGAAATGTGAGCATTATTTTGACAATCTTCTTAGAGATAAATCAAAATTGCCGTACTGTCCAGATACATGCGGGCAGCGGCCGGCAAAAGTTGTATGAAAATCCATATCTGTCGTGTTTTGCGGCCAGATAAATTACTATGTAAAGTCATATCTGTCCTGTAATTTAAAAATGGAATGACCTTTTACTTCGAAACATGGCTATCAAGAAGGTAACTAATTAAAAGTTTTATTTAAATTTCGAACTGGCTTGCAAATAGAAAGCTGTTTATTGAAAAAAAAAAAAAACAAAGGAACATTATGGCGCGTTAAAAATTATTATTGTTTGTTATTCGTCATTGAACTTAAAAAATAAAATTATGTGTTTGATTTCCGCGCATTGTTTGAGAAAAGTACTATACAAGCCTTGGCCACAACTAGGCATTGATGGACTCACGTACGAGTATGTGTATCTCGGCTTCGCCTCCGCCCAATTTGCACGTTCGTCTATTATTATCAATGTATTATTATTTTGAAAGAACCAATAGAGAGATTATTTCGAATGTATAAAGGAAGTTTATTCCACAGCTATACAGCACGGAATGCAAAGGAGTTACCCACAAATTGAGTTCTGCAACTGGAAAGCTTCAGTATTCTCTAGTGGTTTCGGAAGAGACATGTAGATCTTAAGGGAGAGGATAACAATTAGAATCGGGAACCATACGTAAGGAATTGAGAATTGTTGAAGTCTAGTAGTTAACTACGTATTAAGTGATTACTTACGTTGATATCTGCTCCCGTGAAGTTGTAAGGCTCATAAGGCGGATCTCGCCCCCTAACAAACTTCATTATTCTCTGACCATTCTTGAAGAACACAACCTGTGGATAACAACATAAAATTTTCAATGAATAAATGTTTAGAATTTCATTATCTTTCCTATAAGCTATTTATAGAACTCGTCTAAATAGAGAAATGCGTCCCGATTTGTTTTGTAATTGTTTGGGATATATTAAAGACGTTGGACCACTGCTTTTTCTTACACTGTATTAGTGTTATTTTATTAAATATCGATATTATTAGTATGCACGTGATAGCAACTTTTAAAAAAACAATGAGAAGCCTAACTGAACAAAATAGAAGTTTCTACTATAGAGCAACTTTAATCAAGACAAAATTAGTATGGATTTCATATGAGATTGAGTCCCATTAATTTGAAAAATGAAATATAAATCAATTAGTCAAGAATGTACGAAGAAATCGTGTGATATATACACAAATATACTTATTGTTAACATCTATATACTTACATTGTTTTTTGTAAATAAGTATTCATTCATTTAAAAATGAAACAATTGAATTAAGTACTTAAGAAAATTTGCAAAAGAAATCTTTGTGAATTTTAAATAAAAGCTAGTTAAAATATATAAATTTATTAGCCCTCTTTGATTAACTTAAAACTTAAAGGAATAAAAGTATGAAATAAAATCAAGATTTAAAAGCGAATTTGTATAAAGTTAATACCTTTGAAAGAATACGACTACTAAAGAGAACTTTTTATTATATGTTTGATAAATTTTTTATGCTACTTAGAATAATAAATAAGCTGATGTCCCATCTTCTAGAAAGTGGTAGCCGTCGCCTGTAGATATGAGTATTACCATGGACATTCTTACTAATATAATAAAATTATAACTATACGGTGTCTTTACATTGGTGATATTCAAGAAACAATAATGTGAAGGTTCTTAATATTAATGCGGGCTTAAACAACAATTTTTTGTAATTTTGCCTGTCTATATGTTTATTCCAGCATTACTCAATAATTGCTGCACCAAATTGGATGTGTATGTGTAACTTAAAATGTAAACTAGCTGACTCGGCAAACGTTGTTTTACCATATACATTATTTCTAGAACTATACATGAAAGTGTATCGTACTACAACCATTATATTCGATTGTCATCTTACAACCATATTGCGGCATATAAAAATCACGATTAAACAATAGGAATTGATCATAAAAGGGTGAAAATTTGAAGTTGCATGTATTTTTCGATGCTAAATCATAATAAAATATTTGTAAAAAAAAATATTAAGGAGTGGGTCATCCTTATTATATATCCTATAGTAATGAGGGGTATGAAAAATAGATGTAGACGATTCTCAGACCTACCAGATACGCACACAAAATTTCATAAAAATCGGTGAAGCCGTTTCGGAGGAGTTTGGTAACAAACACCGCGACATAAGAATTTATATATATTAGAACACTATTTGGAGGTAGTCAACTTAATTGGTTTTCCTAATTTTAAATCCACGTGTAAGAAGTAACTGGCAGAAAGGTAGTACATAATCAAATATCCTAATTAAACAATATATATTTAAATTTTTGTTTTACTTAACATCATCCTAAAAATATTCAAAAATTATTTCAGGTAATTTTTTGTTATATTTCAGAGAAAGCTTCAACCCCGTGTAGGCCTGAAGTAAAAATTGTAAACGAAAATACATACCAGCTAGTTAGGTCACGTTAATTAGGGAAAATTATCTTATGTTTTTAGAATATAGACTGTTACTTTATATTTTAGTAGGTTTTTGCCCGATACTTAGTACGCGTGGATTAAAATCCACGTGTACTTCTGAAGTATGCCTACTTCTAAAGAAGCAGGAAATCCGATTAAACAGACCACTCCTCGATAGAGTATCAAGATTAAACAAATCAGATTTTAAGTAGGACTCTCAGAAAGCCAACTGTGAAAACTGCATCTTATTTGATGCAGTAGTTTTTGTGTGATACCGGAATAAACATACTTTAATGATTGGATGGAACTACAGTTATTAGTGGGTTAAACGATGGTAAAATAAGTAGCAAGTATCAATCCGAATAATTCTTTCAATTTTATGATAATGATTTATTGATAAATTATTATGAAAATTTGTGGTTTTTTTACATAATTTGAAATGGCAAACAAGCCGATGATCTGCCGGATGGGAAATGGTAATTGTCGCATATGAACATAAATAGTACCATAGAACATATTATAAAAAACCTATGGTATCTATCATTGAATGTGATTTAAGAATTACGTAAGGTACGAAACCTTGTTATTTAAATGCCATACAACTATAAGATATTTATTACCCAATCAAGTTTAATGGACTAAATGTATTTAGCAGGTAGGTTGTATTTTATTCTATTTCACGGAAACAAAGCCACGGGTTTATAGCTGATGTAAAAAAGAAATAATGGTATGCGTAATAAGAAAACTTGACAGGAGATTGCGATGCGACGTCGTAATTCTTATGCGGAAGTTGATTGAATATCTACCTTGAATTGATAATGAGAAATTTGTACGAAATGTAGCCATAAGAAGAAATGTTCTGATGTAATTATTTATATATATATATATATATATATATAGAATGGGCTCCTACTTCCTTTCTCATCAGTGTCTTAAGAAGCGATTAAGGGACTTAAAGGTTGAGGGATGAGCAGCAGTGTTCCTGTTTTTAAATATTACCAAATCCTGACTGCGATTTCCAATCTACCTCTGACTATGGGGGAAAGTCTATGTTTTGCAGTGGATAGTTGACGGCTGATATGATGATATTAACAATAGCAATATTGATTTTAGCGGATTTTCTGTTTATAATCATTATAGTTTTTAATCGCGACTTCATTTGCGTCACAGAGATATGTTGTTTTTACACAAGTCAGAATGGCAAACAAGATGAGAGTCTACCTTATAGAAAATGGTAATCGACACTTATAGACATGAACAGTACAATGGACACGACAGAGTATACATGATACCTGACGACTAAGGTGTTATGCCTCTATACTCTATAATTCCATTGCCATATACCACCTTTTAAACCGAAACACCGAAAAATCAATCAACACATGTTGATTGACCGGGATAAATAGAAGTCTATATCATTATCAATATCAATATCGAATTTCATGACGATCGGTGGATCCATTAAGAAGCTAAAAGATAACGATTAACTAACTCGCCTTCATATTTATATATTGTATATATTAGTAAGAATAAAACAAAATTTAACTGCAGTTGCCAACTCGGTTGCCAAGCGTAACAACTACTAACAAAATCAATAGGGGGAAGTCTATCTTATCTAGCAGTGGATAATTAATGGCTGATATGGTATTATACTATACAATAGTGAATGCCACATAGCGAAATCGTTTAAGTAAATAAAAGTAAAATTATGAAATATCAGAAGTATATTTACAAGATTAAAGTTGAATATTTCATATAAATATTTTTTACTAAGGAATAATGATGTATACAATATATATTTGAAATTAAATTGGCACCTTTGTCAAAGATTTTCTGAGTTATCCATGTCTATACTAGTTAAATATATTAATATTTTTTTCTAATTTAATTCTTTTAAAAATTTTTGATATTTTTAAGAATAAAATTTAAATTTTTATCAATTTGAAAGATTTTGCTACAGGCAGATTGAGAATCTTCCATTTTAAAGCATATTAAAATGGATGAAGATCATATAAATTCGCATTAATTTAGAGATAGTATATGTTTAATTTAACTGCAATATTTTTGATAACTTCGCGGCACTACACTTTCACAATTCTACAACACACACACACACACACACACACACATATATATAAATATATATCGTCCCTGTAAATGACTCATTACAGGGATATATGGAGACGCCTGCCTTCTGGTGCGAATGCCGTGTAACAAGACAATGTGACTTTGACGCGGGAAAAGAAACATCGACCTGCACGGTAGTTTTTGAAAATATCAATAATCTTCGGTTTATTTGGGATGAGTTTTTGTAATATTTGTATTGTTTATCTACACCTATACACATACACATAAATCAAAAAAAATAGACAACGATGACGCAAATTACGGGAGCCTAAGTGTGAAAATAATTAGGTGACGAAAGTAAATATTCCATCGAAATTCCTTTATATAACAGTATAAATGATAAAGAAAGAGCAAGATTTAGAAGTGCTACACTACGGTGGAAATACGGAACTTTTATTACATTATTTAATAGTTTAGCGTTTAATATGTAATTCACGTAAGATTGTTAGGAATAAGTTTTTAAAAATGTACCAAACATGCAAGATAGATTTTATATTTGTTATCATTTTATTTTACAATTTAAATTTTTGTAATAGCATGGTGAGTTAATTTTTTGTTTGTTATCTTGGTGGTTTAGGTATGCGTAGTAAAATATTATGGAATTACGAATTAATGAAATAACATATGAATAGTTTTTGGGATAACAAAGAACATTAGCAACATTTTAACTCAGGCAAACAATATAGATGGCCGTGTGGTCCCGGCATAGAATAGGCCACCCCTTTCTATTCCATGTGTGCCGAATAAGAAGGCGAAGGATGGGCAACAAGACTCCAAAATTAACCAAGCTTGTCACATATAACTTATTTCGTAAATTTTGGAATTTTGTTCATTCTAAAAATAAAATTTTGTTGCTATAATTTTAAATAAAAAAAAAGTTATAGTATAAAATGTAAATCATTAGACGAAATGTATAATACTTTTGTTTCGTTCAATTTGTCAGTCTGCGATCAATAATCCAATAGAAACTTTAGAAACTGCAATCCCTGCGCTGTTTCTAGAGGGAGATCTTATTAGATTTTCCGTGAAATAGATAACGACTAGAACTAAACATCTAGAGAACTTAAAACCGCGCATCTATATCATTCTTGAATTTATTTCAGCACCATCATCATTTTGTTCGTTGATTATTTTCTACTGTAGTGTTGAACATGGGCTTCTTTTTTTCATTGTTAATCATAAAAAATAGTCTTGAGCTATCTTTTTTTTATACCACTAAAATTGGTTCACAAGTTGTTAGCCCATCTGATGGAATATGATAACCATCATCTTTAATTTTTAGCGATTATGGGTATATTTTGCTCCGTAAAAAACAGTGACAAATTGTAACAAAATATATCAATGAATGTCAATACTTTTCGTAAATACATGCCATTATTATTACTATTTTTTTATTTTAAAATATGAAATTAATGTGAATTTTGGTTGGTATACGGCAACTTGTTACGAGACTACGTTGCCAAATCTAAATTGATTTTGATATGTCTTTTTGCAATTGTGTTTATTCCGTACTGATTTTGTGACAGCTATATATGCCATTTATATTTGCGAAGCAATAAACTGCTTGTCTATTGCTAAACAAAAGTATTTAATACATGACGCCACATTTTAAATTACAAATAATTTTCAAATTTATGTTTCCAAAAAATCTGGACATTTATTAATATTGTTTGTGATTGAAGTCGTTGTTTTCTTTGCGGTGCAATATTTGTGTTTAGTCTTTAGAAAATATCCAGTTACGTACCTTATATAGAGACTCTGGGTCAACGTTGTGTTCGCATCTAAGTACCGCGCTGTTGCGATGCACTACAAACCGCGGTGCGCGTAGTTCCACCCATACTTCCGACATCCCCGTCACTGTAATAATAGACAATGCTTGGTTATTACCCTGACTTCCTTACTGATATTATAAATATGAAAGTTTGTTTGTTTATTACTGTTGTTTGTTGATTTAACGGCTTAATCAATCTTTATAACATTTGGTACAATTAAACTTAAATGATTAAATATATTTAATGAAATTTAGCACATACAAATTTGGTACTACGGTTATCCATACATAAAAAAACAATCTATGTCTTACATTAAATTAAAATATGCAATAAATTATAAGAATAGCCGCGAAATGATAAATGTCATTGCATATTGCATAGCGCCGTCTACTCCTAAAGTGTACATATTATATAACTGTATGTGATCATTTAAAATTTATATAGCGATTTATCGCTTCATAAATTTATATTAATGTAAAAATTAAACTCATAGTAACGTCTATAATGGACATTATTCAAAGCAAATTAGGCTCAAGGCTCTTAAAGAAGACAGTGGTCTATTCAAATATCGATAATACCCTCTTAAGAGGACCACTCGCCTTGTGTCTGCCAATTTGGTACAGCTTTTTTATCAAAACGATCCAGGAAAATGAGTATTTCTTAACCTTTTATGATAATAAAATTCAAGATTTATAGTTAAATAATTTTCAATAAATCATTTGATAAATATAAGAAAAGTTAATAAAAGAATTTTGTATATATTGAGTTACTCATAGAAGAAATACAGTAAATAATGAATGAAATAGAGAGCTGAGATGATTCAATTTATTAAGTAAATACAGATGTGGATAATATTATATATAAATGTCAGATACTCATGAAGGGCTTATCTTATGTGTAAGAGTTAAATAAAGCAGAATGCCTATTTATACATCCCTTTCGTTTCGCAATATTTGTTTCTGTAATAAATCGAAATTTTGGTGAAATATAGAATTAAAATTATTGATTCAAAACTAATAATGTTTCTCTAGTTTGCCTAATTTATAAGAAAATATCTGATGCAAATACAGATAAACATATGCTGTTTTTTGTACTACTTATATTACCACTGAAATATTGTAAGATGTTTGGGTCTCTTATACTTAGTTATGCCTAAATTAATCAACTAAATGGACCATATCCTGAATTAGCTTAAATGAGTTTTACATTGTTTTCTAATAAAATATATAGTATATTATTTATACTAATATTAGAAAGTGAAAATGTTTTATTGCTAGTATGTAATAGATAAACTCAAAACTACTAAACTGATTTGAAAAATTATTTTATTAGTAGAAAGCTATATTTTCAACGAATAACATAAATTATATAATATAATTGTCAATTCTAATTATCCGTGCGAAGCCGGATCGTAACACTAGTATATAATATTTTATTTTATATGTACATTATTTTACATCCATAATAAATTAAACTAATCCGAATAACGGAGGTGAAATCGCCCACAGCTACGAGTACGTTACATTCTAATATGCTCAAAAAATTTGGGTATATTTAAACGTTTTATTTATTACAACGGTGGTAATCGGCAAATTCTGACTACGCCATTAGGAATATTTCCTAGTCATGACCATATATTTTATTTTTTATCATTCTGTCCATCCTTTCATTAATAGATTTGTACCTGTCTGTAATTGCTACTGTACCCTTACCGAAAAATATTGATATTTTTAGATACAAGTAATATTTCATTGTTCGGTAGTTCAGTAAAAGTTGTCCGACGATAAATCAAACACAATACATGTTATTTCTAAAATATTTTCCTTATAGATAGATATTTGTTAGATACGGTGTCTTATATATCGTACTGAAAGGAAAAATATACGAAATTGTCCACACGGAATCCATTTTCTTTTGATCCCATGACAATTTAGAAAACTTTCAGCTATGTTTCACAAAATGTAACAACTTTTCTATGCTATTTAAGATGGCAAATAGGGTTACTTGACAGAAAGTGGTCACCATCAAATAACGCTGTTCACAATTTTTTTATATTGTATATTTACATCAATTATGAAAATAATACATTATTCTTGAGTATAAATGGAAATAAATTCAATTCCCTGTGGACAAATAGTAAAATATATATATATATATATATATATATATATATATATATATATATATATATATATATATATAGCACTTAATATGGTAAAATTATCATTCCCCTGCCCTTAACCACGCCTAGGGTAAATGACGTCATAATTCACCCACTCGAGAGCTTGCGTGTATTTTCTCTATATAAAGAGAGAGCTTCTAAATTTTAAACGCGTAAAATTTTTTTTTAATTATTGAAAATGCTTAATTTTTTTTTTTGCGTGAATTAACTTATTTACCTATTTGTATCATTAAAAGAAATCAAACCAAATCAAATAAAATCACTATTATAACCGAATGAAATCTTATTAAAGTGTGGTAATGTTGAAAATGTCTCTTAGAATAAAAAAAGCCAATCATTGAATAAGGTTTTTACTTAAAAATTTTGCATACGAGTATATTCGTACTTAATTTTTGATTATGAAGATTTTTTTCCATCAAAATCCAAATGTTTCAGTAACAGCTTAATAAGAATTTAGTAATGCGTTAATTAGAATCTTAATGCATGATATGACATTTCATATTTACAACAGAGTGTCTATGTTTACATATTTAATATATAAATGTTATTTCTTTTATTGTTGTACCATATTAAATATAATTGTAAAGTATGTGTTATTGTACTAATGCTTTATTGGGTGAGCGTAGCGGGAGACTGTCTCAATCGATTGGTCAAATAAATAAATAAATCTTGATAACATCACGTGGTCACGGATTTAACTTATTCTTAGTTTAATATATCATAGATGACTTCAATTTGTGTCTAAACACAGAAAGAAAATGTAAAAATAAAACGTACAGCGATTTCCGTCACAGCGTTTCTAAAAATACAAAACGCTGTACGTCCCTTTAAGAAGACTTCCGGATTCTTATTGTGGATGTATGTGGACATCGTTTAAAAATTAACATAAGTTATAAATATAATTTCAATGTGCATACTGCATTTAATTCATGTTACAAGTTATAACTTTTTATGAACATAAAATATTTGAATATATAAATTGAGAAGCAACGGTGAGAATATTTGCCTCTTTGAATTTCTCTCTTAATGAGTCACGACTCTTCATACAGTAGCCATTATTTCGCTTGAACTTAGTTTCGCTGCAAGGCTTTGAATTTGTGCACCCCATTGTGTTTTATTATCTAGAAGAGATTCTCTCGACCAATTTTACGTCGAGAAAATTCCATTAAAGTTCTAATTTTCGTTTGATCGGTTTTTTAACAAGATTTTCGGTTTACTGCCTGGTTAAATAGACGTAGTTACATTTAATTTTATCGTTACATTTTGTTTGTTGTCTATTTATTGGATTGTTTTTTCAACATATTTGATGATTATACACATATATAATTGATACAAATATACCTAAGATAAGTACCTAAATGTATGTTGTAAATGTACTGTACTCGTATTTGTATTGTTGATATGCATAAATGAATAAATAAAATTAAGGACAGAAAATAGAAACTATGGATGAGAATGGAGATGGAGTGAAAAGTTATACGCATCAAGTAAACAATAACTTGATGACAAGACAAGAAAACAATAATTTGATGTTTGTATTTACAATTTTTTATTTCAAAAAGTGTATTTATTGTATAAACAAATATAATAATAAAATATTGACTGTTATTTTAATAACAGAAATCTACTTATAATCCGACTTCATTTAAAATTTAGTAATCTCTAATGGACACGTAACATTGGCTAATCCTTCCGGCACAATCTCTAAATATTACAAACCTTATATCTTGTCAACTAAACATGGTTGAGGATAGAAAGCTTATTACGAGGACCAATATGAGAATGAATGCATAAAATATAACTAATAATAAACTTGTAATTTTGGTATTACCCAGTTGCTCCACTGGGGGACGCTTTGACATGGGAAATTGCAATCAAATCTGTTATGTCGGTGTCGTAAACTCGAAAATGGTTTCTTCAAGGGCGTCACAGGATCCAAATTACTACCAACTCTGAAGCCATAAAGTGAAGTTATTAACACACGTATTAAAGGCCGTCTTAAACTTGAATCTAAACCATGATTTATGGTTTACCGAAACTTTTCTTTTGGTCATGTGTTAGATTTTTATGTTAACAACATTTGATTATTAATATTCTTTTTTAAGAAAATATAAGTTAATATCTATTAATATTATATATGTTTGATTTCTTTAGATACACGGTGAAATTGAGTAATAGTAGTTTATGTTTTATCTGGGTTAAGTATAAGCATGTTAGGTATAACTATATAACAGGACCGTAGCTATACCCATGTTTAATGTAGGGCAAAAAACTTTTTGGTAGGGTAGAAACCATAATTAAGCGACTTCGAAAAAGCGACTCTGTTTAATTTTCATTGGGCCTTTCATTTTAAGGTAAGGAATCAGGCCTTTTAAGGTAGGGCATTACCCCTCAAATACCTTGGCGTTTCTCTGCAATGTATATATATATATATATATATTTGCTCACATTTCACTGTATGTATTTTACTTATGTTACTTACTTACGTTCTTCCTGTTAAAATATTGGCTAAAAAATTTTTATGTCTATTACATATTAGTACCTACTGTTTGGGACTTGTTGTTTCTAAAAGTTAAGAAAACTCTCTTAACACTTAAACTAAATTTTAAGTTTTTAATTAATGGGTCTTTATTGCACCGAAAAATATTTGGTTTCTTTTTATTATTAAAAAGACAAATGAATTTTATGGCCCACCCCATGGTCCGCCTGACAGCCCACCTGATAAAAATAGCTACTCAGCTACTATTTCACTGTAAATACTTACAAAATAGAATCTACATATAACTATGTAATATTTACAATGTCCAACGTCCATCTTACACCTGGGATAACTTGTCGGGCTAGGTAACGCCAACTTTTACCGAGAGGTTAATCGACGAATTCAACTCGGCCAGACAGCATTG